CCAATTACAGAAAGGTATTCCGCATTCTGAATATATGTGAGTGAGTGAGTGGGCTTACGTGGTTTTTAATAATATCCCTGCAATGTGTAACATATGTTATGTTTGGGATTACACTTTCTTAGTAAAGCACCTAATCGCCAGCACACAAAGTCATACGCCTAGACCGCTTTGTGTGCTGGCGATTAGGTGACTGACTCTGAGGGTGTGGGTTCGAATCCCGGATGGGACTCAACCCAAAAAGTACTAGAATCTGTACTTTACTAAGAAAGTGTAATCCCAAATATAACGTGTTACATTTGATTACTTTCTAAAATGGCATTGTGTATTTCATCCCTGCAATGTGACGGCTGTAAATAGGATGGGCTTCACGCACTGTACACAGATTGGCAGGTCCATTTATGAATCTTGACGTCCATATTAACTTACATGACGTGATTACTGGATATGTTTCAGAACGGCGTTAAACTCAACTCACTCACACACTATCATGCATATAGACAGCAACAGAATTTCTTTTCTGAAATGGTTCTGCTGTATTATTATACTGTATCCATGGAAACTGTGTATCATAAGGCATTGAACTAACTTTTCTAGATTTGAGAGTAACTTAAAGACAGACGGAAACGCTCACCCTAAGGATCAATAAAGGCACAAGAAGAAAGGGTCACGTGACGTTACATGTGACATACGGAACAAAATGGCGTCTCACACGGAATGGACATAGGGAACGTGAACAACGTTATTTCTGGAATACGATAGGGGATGCCATATCAATACAAACTACCCACGGCGTCATGATGGCGTCGATGACGTCGATGTTATTGAATTATACACATATATAGGTCATACTGAGTCGAGAGATTCAATGAGGGCATGTCTGATCAAATGATCAAATGATCAAAGACGAATGTTGTTGCCATGAAATATTGCGAACTGTAAACCAACAAATTAACGTGACAACATACGAATTGCCTTAACGGTAACCTGATATCGAAAGGAAACCATGTAATTTTATGCAATAAATAAATAATGATCACACATGTAGATTCAAGTGACAGTGTCGTTCAGCAGAAATTGATGACCGTACGAAATGATGAAATAATGGGGAAATTGTGTGATGTGATCCCTGAACGAGACTTGTAAATATCAGTAATTTGACATGGCCACAATGTATTACATAAAACTTAGGACCTAATTGATCAATGTTGGTTGTAGCGAGAACACTTGATTCGAATCACCAGGTCACTTGTAGATTAATTATTTCCTTTGCCCCGTTTCGCGGTATTCATGGCTGTAAAATGAAACCTCATTAACACGAAGTCTGTTATCTCGATGTATCGTGTAGACGATGTAACATTATGGTCCCGATAGAGGTCTGATATTAAAATTCGTTGTCTCGACCTTTGGATAAGTCGACGGATTTACAACGGTCCCCCTAAATTTCGAATTAGAGGCCTTGCATTGAGCATCAACGACATCAACGATGAGATGGCAATCACAACACCCTCAGCCCTAATGGTCTACCTTTGGTTCTAGGGATAGGTATTTTTCCGAAAGGCCATAAATTCAATTACTGATACAAGAACATGGACCTGTTCATATCATTCATATTATTATGTTCATATCGGTGCAGTGAATAATAATAGTAATTATATCATAGGCAATGAACTGGAAATCTATGCGACATTCCGTTTCTGTTTTTGAATTCAAATTGCCGTTACTAAGGTGAGAATGAGTAAACAAACTTGAAAGATAGGAAGAAAGAAAAACAATACACATGATACATTTTTTCCACAATCGTAATGGCTATGGTAACTAATTGTACTTACCATGAACACAACAACAAAGAACAGTGTGTTTGTTTAAACAATATATTCATTTTTAAATTTGAAACAGAGTAACAAACGTGAAGCCAAAAATATTTCTGTTATCAAAATAGACTCAAACATAAATTTGGCAAAACTATAATATAAACATAACATTATTCTATAGGATACCGAATCAAGTGTTCTCGGGGTAAGGATTTAACAGTATTCATGGGAAGTGTACATAAAATTTACACATGAATATAATAACAGTTTCTTCTGTACGCTAACACTTTAAGCCTTGTGCTTCTTAAACAGAAATGATATTCAAATTGACTTCTCGAGCAGTGATTGGTAACTTCGTAGATTTCTGGCACGGTGATTGGTCAGTTCTCGTCGACTTCGAAAACATCTGGTGATTGGCAAAGAGTTAGATTACTAACGAATTGTTCACGGATATAATTCTGTCAATTGGTGGACAGTGGTCAGACATGTCGGACGGCTGGACAATTCAGGCGCTATATGACACAGGATGACACACACATATGGTCTAATGAAGATAAACAACATTCAATCTGAACACATACTACTCGATAAATTGTGTGTTTCGCATGATTGTTCAAACACACTGATATCCCTAGTAATACTGCATGTTTATTGAATAGGGTCAACAAAATAACTGTCAAGTAGTCAAATATCACCATGTTGATTTTGAATTCGCCCTTTCAAACATGGATACTCACATACATTGTGATCGTGTCCGGTTTCACATCGTAACTACTGCCCTATTTGGACCTGACACATTGTATCCATAATATTATAGGCTAATCAGCATCAGCTAGCTTAATACACACTAAAATTAAAGTAAGCACTGGGTTTTGAACTGGAAACTAAACTGCCGGGCCTGTCAATTGGCTTGAGCGTAGTCCCCCTTTAAGTTACATTCACGTTAACTATTAAATACTAATCTGTTTAAGACATGCAGCGAGTAAGCTAGGACAGCTGTAGCGTTTCCTAACACCATAATGACCTATTTGTTTACTATAAATAAGCTGGGAAAATGATAAACAGTTAACGCGTGCATAGGGCACCTGTAATGAAGCAACACGGGTCTCGACTTATCATGTCCTTGACACTAACGCGCCTAATGACATCGCTTTTCGTTGACTTTTACAAATTGAGCATTTCACGCAGAACAAGGTCCATTCCTCATATCAACAATCAAATCAGCCATTTCTCGGATGAAATAAATATTGTTACATCCATCAATGCTGATGCTCAAGGCAATAACTATCAAATATAATTTGTGCTTTCTGTAGAATATAAATTGATGCTGCGCAACAATGAGTTTGCCTCAATGTCACTCTTAACGCATATATTTATATCAGATTGTCTGGTTAATGTGGGAAGAAACCCCGAAGTAACGCAGGTCATAGACGTTTATAACTTTGGTGTAACCCCCTAGCACAGGTATGGTGTTAACAAACGTAGACACGTCACCAGGGCGACCCCGGATTCGAACCCGGGATTCGCAGCCATGCACAGATGACTTCGGTGCCATCAGTACCCTTTCAACCAACTGTAACTGTAATGGACAACTAGTTAACAGTTTGAGTAACAGTTTTTATCCTATGCAAGTATAGACAGCCTCAATACCTTGGACCAGTGGAATCGGATCCATATGCGAGTAAGGGACGTAACTCTGATTAACCGAATCTTTACGTTTTACTGATTGCTCTCCACTATTATATCAGATACCTTCACAATACTATCTAGATGTAATAGTCGTTATGAAATACTGTTTAACACCTTTATTCCCAAGGCCATTGCTATTACCAATATGTTTCATGCACACTGCTTCTTCTAAATATTACTTTTGTTTCTGTAAATACTTAAATCGTGACATTAATGCTTTCAGAACAGAACCATATACGTGGACAGCTACGTCTGTGATGGTATCTCCCTTGTGGCCATTGAAACGTTAGGATCCTGCTATAGAGAATTTCGACAACCTGGAGATTACTAGGTAGGAAGAGCATATTTTCCCATAGACGATATACTGGTTATTGCTGTTCTGTGTATTAACAGGCTTCAGTTGCTCAGTCACCTTGGTAGTACGGTCAGATTGCTCATTGAGGGAGGGAACAGCATTAATCAATGCACCAAGCGAGGTCGATCAGCGTCTTGTATCTGACGTGGACGTCCAATACAACCTTCAACAGGTCCTGGTGGATGCTACAGAAACCGATGTACACGTAATCTGCTTACCCTAATAACAAACATCTAATGATCATTGACAAAACGATGCGAACCGACATTGTCCAACCGTCCTGAAATAACACACATTCTCAGCAAAATCAGTAGTTCAACACAATGTAAGACAATGTTCTAACATACACATGGTTAGTTTGTTCAGCTTACATAATACATTGTATTGCAAACATGTGGCTCAGAGTCGTCCCTCGGGACAGACACCACTGTTGTCGGCAGCAGTACACGACTCACTGGAAGATCTGGGGAGGGAGGGAGGGAGGGGAGGACCTGGGTGGGGCTGCCTGCCAGTCGGGATGGAAGAAGAAGATCTGTCTCATGGGTACGACAAACAACTCTTGGAAATATACAACTGACACAGTTAACATTTCCAAAGGATCTTACAGTCTGCATAATGCAGTTTTTAAACTAAATATAAAAGTGCTAAATGTAACATATTTCTAACTGCAATGTACAAATTAGCAAATGTTCTAGCGAGTTTCTGTTACTGTGGCATGCCCACGATGGTCCATGCAGACCCAGTTTCATTTTGAGGCAATGATTCTATCCACCCCATAACGGAATGATGAACGTTAGGTGAAAATGCCATTAAGATTAAATTTTTTGTTGTTTATCATACCCCTAGAAAGCAAAATATATTTATAATCTACTAGGTTTGACGTAGCCATGTCACAACGCGCCAAATATTACTGCATGCTCTTGAAGCGTCTGTTGCAACACGCCAGTACCGCTGTCTACATATTACCTATAGCAACAATCAACGTGAAGGCTAATCTACCCCGTCTTGCACCTTGTCGATATACATGATGGCTTATCATATGGAGGTTACGTGGTGCGTCCGCCCACCTGTCTTTCTTATCACTGACGAGCACACATATTTAATGGTGAAGCTAAAATCAAGAATTAGAGAGCATCATCTTCACGTTTCCATCATAACCGTTTAATTCCTACGTTTGATTTCAAACGATTGGGATACATTAAGATCTTCTCAGTAATAATTTTCAATTACATGACCAACATCAAGAACAGCCTGCCATAAAGATGATCGATATTCTAGATAGATAACGAATCAATAAATATACAATGAACGCACAGTTAAACAAGTTTCCGATGTTGGCCATCACTGACAACTACATTTTCAAGGTAAAATTGCTACTGAAAAACCAACAGCTATGGAGTTTAGAGATGGCTGGACGTAGATGGAGTTAGCATTGGATGTTACTTGCTTCAAAGGAAAACACGCAGTGTAGCTTCTAGAGGATAATTTGTCGGTAAAGTCAGCATTGAATGTGTCTAAACACGCATTGAAACCACTCCAGTCGAACATCTCTGCTACTGTGAAACTAATTCTGATCCTGGGCTTTGCAACAGAGGGCTTTACACTATACGAACTTATTCTGTACCCTGTAGGCTTGGCAAGGTGCCAGCTCATGCGATCCGTGAAGGTGCATCTGTACAACGGCGAGTTACGGGCATTTTACAACAGAAGCCTAAATCTGCACTCCATAGACAATCGTTACAAAGCATTGCACAGAAGTTTCTACACATAGCAGACTGTTTAAGGCTAAGAGCAATGGTTGGCCAGGCAGGTCGGCAGACGACACCGCACTTTGGCGGGAAATGAGGGGAGGGGAAGGGGAACCTACCCAGTGTGAGAAAACTGAGCAGCTAATTCTAGTTCGTGTTTTAAGTGTCTTGAATCGTCCGGATCCCGGACTGCAGGCGTGGCTCACTGCCCACTGTATTACAGCCTCAGCCGGGGCCTCTCTCGTGGTCAATGGTGCGTGGACGTCCACAGTACCACGGCTTGTTTCACGAATATCACCTCCCAAGCAGGAACACTACAACAACATAACTTCATTTTTACAAGGATTTGGAATCCTTCAATTTGGCAAGTGAGACGAAAAGTAACCACAGTTATGACGACGGGTTATGGAAGTGGCATCCGATCAATGTTATTCCATCCAAGAGCAGTTTCAGCAGCCGTTGAGATCAGCCATTTAAAGTAATTCACAAATCACATTTGCTTGTTGATTCTCACTCTATATCTGTACAGCCACGTGACGTCAGCCAGCACTGAACGTCACGTCACGTGATATCATATATCACATTTGCACGTGCAAACCACGTGGCATTAGGGAAAAATCCAATAACACAATATCACTGTATTACTATATCTTAGACTCCCCTTGGCTATTAGGCGATCCGTTCCCAATCTGAACCAAGGTTTGACCATGACTGTTGTAACGCACCATTGTTTCCGCTGGGGGTCTCAGACTGTCTTTGACAGCATGATCGGCACCATACTGCTCCACATAACTCTCGGAACGCATTCGAACGTTTATTCCACGACATCTACAACACAATATTTCCTTAAAGGGAGTCCTAAATTCACGGTTGAATCGAGCATATATAACAGGATTCAAGAAGGAATTCGCATAACCCAACCACATAAGCACTGAGGAGACCCATGGTGGTACCTTGTCAAATGATGCTCCGTATACCTTAAAACAGACGGCTTGCACTACAGCAAGTATGAAGAATGGGAGCCAACACGCCGTGAAACAACCCATGATAATACCCAGAGTTTTGGTAGCCTTACGCTCCTTCGAAGTGGACATACGTTGTTTTGATGGTATTATTGACTTGATTGTGAATCGACGACGTTTAATAGAGTTTCTCTTTAAAAGGTTTTCTTTCGTCGTATCATCCTCTGACGATAGTAAGTTCGAATCTTTGATTGAGCCATTGGGTAGAATGTGGCTGTCACCACTGTCCCTCGATGGCCGACCCACTTGGAACTCGGGTGGCCGGTCTATGTTGCCAATATGTGACCTTTGCTCGGCCTTTGCTATCCGAGATGACACTCGCCAGATTTTATAATAGACCACGATCATCACAGCTAGAGGCAAGTAAAAGGCACCCAGAGTTGCATAGATCTGATACCCTAGTTCGTTACTAATATAACAGTCAAAAGCACCCCTGTCGGCCTTCCAGCCGAAAATTGGGGGGATAGATATCAGAGCTGAGGCCACCCATACAACGGCTATCATTATTCCCATGCGTTTAGGCGTCCGTTTCATGGCATACTGTAGTGGTCTGGTGATGACGAAATAACGATCCACGCTGATCATACAGAGATTAAGTATAGATGCAGTGCACAGGAGCACGTCTAGGGATGTCCACATGTCACAAACAGCTTCTCCGAGACGCCATTTCGTTCGAATCTCCGTGTACAGCGAGAGTGGCATTACGAGGATGGCAACCAAAAGGTCCGCCGTCGCAAGGGACACAATCAGAAGGTTGGAGGGTGTTTGCAGGCGCTTCACAATCCCCACCGCGATGCACACGAGAGAGTTGCCTATCACTGTGCCGACGATCATGCAGCTCAAGATGAGGGAGATGAGAACTTGCAGCCACACCTCGTAACTGGACTCCTTGTTCAGGGGCTGTGAGGTCGTATTCGTGATGTTGTCCACACTTGACGTTGAAGTGCTGTCGTTGTAGTCGACTGTGGGAGAACCCAACGTGGACGCCATATCACTCACGACCCACGTGCGGGATGGGTACATGCACGATCCAGAAATTCCATAAGTAAAATAATATCAAGCACAGAACTTTGTAAGAATGAATCCGAAGTAACAAAACACACTTTATCCCAAGAATTCCAAACACCTTGTGATAGAGGAAACAGTCGAGTCAGTGGTGAAGGCTGACAACATGGGCGCGAGGTGTTACTGGAGTTGAAACACTTTTATCACAGCACTAGCTTCCCGTCACAGTTTCCACTTTCTCAAATCTGTCAAAGGTGACAGTTGAATCAGTCGTGGTGGTGTTGGTGTAGAGGCTGCGGTAGCTGAGAGAGACGTCACTAACTCCAACGAGCCCCCGTCCCTCCCGGCCTGTCTGCCCACAGGCTCACCACCAGTTACTACCGTGTGTTCATCGGAGACTCCAGGAATCGATAGAACTGTAGCCTGTTCAATACTCCGACGTCTACCTCCATCCTTCGCTCTCTCTGGTACTCCAAGCAGGCGGACTGGCTTCCACGCTTGCAGGTATCACAACACAATTCCAGATTCTCCAACTGACCAAGTCACAACTCAAGGGTCGCCTGTATCAATGGTTTCCAGGCCAACATGCTGTCCAGAGTGCCACCCTAGCGTATGTCACATCCTACACTCCAAGAAGCACTCGCGAAGCAAACCACTCAGCATGGACACTGTAACAACTTGAGTCGTGGAACGATACTATGACTTAACCCGGCGCTCATGTACCAACAGGTATATCTGCACAAGCGATCTAATGAAGGTATTCATATCAAAATCCTTGTTTTGTCAGCCAGTTCATAGATTAGCAGTGCCGAGGAGTGGATAGAAAGCGGGTTAACCGGCTAACTCTCACCGGAGCTTATATCCCAGATTAGGGTAGAGGCTACTTGTTACACAATCTAACTTGCTTATTTTCATCCGTGTTGAGTAAGTCCTGTGTGGAGGTTCATCTCGGTCGATTATGTTTCTGCGCCCGTTTCAACACTAGGTGATGTTCCAGGTTGTAGTGGAAGTGCACACCGTTCACAGTATAAAATATCCACTACCTTACAGCAGAGTTTCGTTTTAGCACCAATTTGGTTTCTGTATTATCCCGATTTCACCAGGCCGCTACCAGGTCACTGAAAAAGAAAAATGAAAGCGTTAACTCAGTTTCACAGTGTGACTGTACTTATAAGTCGAGGTCTCGGACCGGTCAGTAAGCTATGAATGCAAGTACAACACTGACCCTCCGTGATTATACCAGTAATTGAGTAAATGTCCAGTCTTCCCTATACTAATTCACAGTGTGGCCACATTCAGACGTATCCGCTTAGGTAGTGAAATATTCTGTTCTTTAACCTTCAAGTGGGCAGGGTGATAAACACCTTTCTACAGTCAGGCTGGGGGTGGAGGTATTGAAGCGGCGGTGACGGTGTGTCATTGAGGTATAGCAATATTACACTAGTGTACGGGGATTCGTTACCGGGGAGGCACAAGTTTCAAAGCAAAGACTGTGAATCTCATGGCTAGCTGTATTGTTTACTGGGACGCTCTTCTGTTAAACTGTTCCCCAATGCACACGCTGAGGCCATACCGGCATTTCGTTCTTGCGGCCAACAAGTTAACGCTCGTAGGGTAGAAAAAAACCCACTTTATTCCACAACATCGACATTTGAAAGTCATGAGAGTTAGTCGGTTAGAAGCGTTCATACCCATTTTATATGATGTGTTTCACATTTTACACTCCCGACTTACAAAGCCTGAAATGTACGTATATAAACACATTTCATAGTGCCTAATAGATTACAACTCTGATATTCATACGTATCGTTTGAACAAATATAAGATGTAGCTTTTTAATCTCACACATGGTGAGCAGATGCCAAAATAGGTAATTAAATCAAAACCAACATAAAGGACGTTTTAGTACAGTATTGATCACAGATAGATGTTAGCAGTGCGATAATGAGTGTACGATCCCTCTGTATATAGATTTTAAAACTCCACAACCACATTCCTGATTGTGGTGTTTTCTAACCGTCCTATTAAGGGGATTAAGGGCCTGGAAATTGGATCTTGTGATGGACGGTACTGAAGACCAATGACTATTGGTAAAATGTCAAAGGCATTGTTTGAATTTGCAATTTCTTGGGATAATGTTTTTTCTGTTATTTTTCCGTGTTATAGGTCGTGTGTATATTTTGTGTTTACACTGAGACCTAGTCTGTCATACAGACCCTGAAATATATCCAAGAAACCCCATGCAAGTCTAGAATATGTGGCAAGTATAGAGTCTCAGGGCTCTTCTTTATTATATTTCATTATGAACTGTTTTATCTATGAAATATGTTGATTTCAGAGACTATTTGTTAGTCTAATGAGACCAAACCCAATTTGTTTCAACACATATGTGACATCTATTATAACACTATAAAAAACAAAAGTACTGCATTTTTATTTCATGGTTCACCGTATATAGAGCCAAAACAGTAACAACGTTCTTTTACCTGTAACATTCGTATCAGCAGAGTGATGTCATCCTTACCTGGTGATGCCAATGAAATATATTAGGAAACGCTGACAGGACTGCGTTATGTGTTAAATTTAAAAATATAAATATACTTTTTACATACTTGAATTAAAATCAAAACACACGCACATTTACACACGCACGTATGCACGCACGCACGCACGCACGCACGCACACGGAAAGCTGCCTGGCTAGTTCAGTGAAAGTTTTGTATATCTGTAGTGTAAAGGATATTTTTAACACTATAAAAGACGATGCCAGCGAAATTAAAGTATGATGAAATATTCTCCACATAATGCCTAGCCATAACGCCCTGCACGAATGTATTGATTTTGTGATTCTAAAAACATTAAATCGGACCGCGTTTCTTAAGATTCTTGACATTCAAGAAGGAAGTTTAAGGATACTGAATAACTGAAACATAGTTAGGTACATAAGTGAGTGAGTGGGGCTAGTTTTACGCCGCTTTCAGCAATAGTCCAGCAATATCACGGCGAGGGACACCACAAATGGGCTTCACACATTGTACCCCTGTGGGGAATCGAACCCGGGTCTTCGGCGTGACGAGCGAACGCTTGAACCACTAGGCTACCCCACCGCCCCTAGGTACATAAGACTATTGAGATTTTGAAACTATTCTGTACATGCGTTCGCCTGAAACAGATATGATGCCTACAAATATTCAGCTGATGCAAGCCGTTATTTACAATGACGATAAAAATACATTCAAAGATTATTCTAGGATTCAGTAGTGAGTATTATTTCAGTGAGTATTGTTTTGTGCCGCATTTAGCAATATTGAAGCAATGTCAACGGAAGGAGGAGGACACCAGAGATGGGCTTCACACATTGTACCCACGTGGGAGTCAAATCCGGGTCTTCGGCGTGACGAGTGAACGCTTTGAACATAAGGCAACCCCCACCATCCCCAATTTAGGATTAAATAAAATATGACAATTAAAATATATTAAAATAACTAATATATTAAAATAAATATAATATGATCAAAGTGGACCAAGGGAGTGGAGAATGGGAAAACTCTGCTCTTAAAATACAGATGGACCAAAGTGAGAAATTACATAATGTCCCAAAAATGGTTACAAAACAAGCGATGTTCGGACCGCTGCTGACCACGGCCCAAGTCTACCTGAAGGTCCGTGTAATCTGCAGTACTGGTCAGCGTGTGATAGGCCTCAAGTGCTATGGATAGAGTTTCCTACTAATAGGCCCACTAATTGTGTGAGATTGGCTGTAATAGTTTAAATGGAGTTATTGTGTATTTCCCCCTACTCTACCCATGCACCTATCAGGGTATGACCCGGGCTTGTAATCTCGCCCTGGCCGGGAGGCATCGCTCATTGGCCAGGCCCTGTAGTGAGCTGCATCTTCACAACGCGCCATGCCTGTCGACGATACGCCTCCACTACGCAAGATTCCTATTGCAGGCTTTGCGGCGAAAAGTGCAGGAATCGATTGAAGAAAGGAACACGATGAATTCGTCGATATGTTTTATCCGTAGCATTAAAATCAATATATTGAAGAAGGTGACCACGTGATTTCCCAGGGATCAATGCGGTAGTTTGATACCGGAAAAGGATGCTTAGAGTTGAAATAGTTATTAAGGTTGATGGTAAGACATGGCACACCGATTTCAGACAAGATGAATTCGTAATTATTAAAATGATGAGCTTAGTTCATGTCTTGTACTATTTCCATGGGCGTCTAGACGAGTGACATCCCACTGCAGTAAAAGAATGCCCTTATACATCGATTAGCCTCACAAAACGGTCGAATGGAATTGGATTTTAACATAACCAGTTAGAGGCGAAACTCTACGAGGCTTGGTTTTTTCAAGGCCAGGAAATTATATTGCTGCTACATATGCCGACATTGCATTGATTTATTCTTTGCTTAATACGTAACTTTTGAAACAAGTTATGGGACAACCTTGGTTGGTTTTACAATTATTTCCTTTCCATCTATTTCAATCTGTTGCTGCAAGATTTGTTATGTTACATATAACCTAAACATGGTACCATGGTAAATAAACACCGTTAGTAAACAAGTACAGATATAGGTTCAGAGGCCACTGAAGTACATTTGCTACAGAAAATTACTAATTTGATAGAAATTAAAAAAATAATGTTATTGACGATAAAGGTTATTGCACTTAAATGAAAGCCGTTAGTGCAAGACACTTATTTCATTAATTGGTGCAATCTAACACTTCCAATTATTGTCTAATTGCCGTTTGATGGGAGAATCTGATAACAGTACGCACTTTGTAGCCATAATATTGAGCACCGAAGTCCCGGGTGAGTTTAGTTAGATGGTAAATGGTTGTACTCGGGCATGTATCAGGGTTCTCGTATTGCACGGTGTTAACACATAGCGAACTCTGTAACCTTGGCCATGGAAGCACAGCCTCCCAGGTCAGGAGGTATCTTCCCCTCCCTCAACTACAAACACAGAGATACATAATCCTTCCGCTGGGAAATAGTCCTAAACACTTCACCATACGGACCATGAGCTTGTGTTGGTGTGTATAAATAAAAACACTTCTTCTAGTGAAGTCTAAAATGGTTCTGTGTGCAACCATAAATATTTTTGGAAACGTTTAAGAGAGTATACTGTTGAAGTACAACGATAGCGTACGTTGTCTTTCTTGCTGTCCCGGGGCGATGGGGTAGCCTAATGGTTAAAGCGTTGGCTCGTCACGCCGAAGACCCGGGTTCGAATCCCCCACATGGGCACAATGTGTGAAGCACATTTCTGGTGTCCCCCGCCGTGATGTTGCTGGAATATTGCTAAAAGCGGCGTAAAACCAAACTCAGTCAGTCAGTCAGTCTTGCTGTCCCCGTAAACTGGATATCTTACGTACCTCTGATTTACGCATTACCTACATGTACGGGGAAGTAGGTTGGTTGGTTGGTTGGTTGGTTGGTTGGTTGGTTGGTTGGTTATTTAACGCCGCACTCAGCAATATTCCAGCTATATGGCGGCCGTCAGTAAATAATCGAGCCTGTACAAGACAATCAAGTGATCAACAGCATGAGCATCGATCTATGCAATTGGGATACGATAACATGTGTCAAACATGTGCCTCTTACGACAAGCATGGGTTATTGAAGACAAATTCTAATCCGGATGTTCACGGGTTCGGGGAAGGAGGTCAAGGGTGTAGGGTAGATTAACGCATGTAGTCTCGGAATACATACCATTTGGTTAGTGACAAATAACCCATTGGAATTGGAAAGGAGCCCCAGTCAGATGGGAAATTCAGAACCTGACGGAATATAGACTTGCTTCATGGCTTTAGCATTGCAGGGAGGACAAGGCAGTAAGGAAAATAATGTGGTCCAGGACTGTGAGACAGACTAGGTGTAGAGTAGCATAGTGGTTCGAGTGTTCGCTCGTCAAAAGGTAAACCCTGGGTTACAAACACGAGCACCTCGGGCTCACACAGTATACTGACAAGCTGATCAGTCCGTGTTTTATGCCAGTAATAGCGCAATGCAGGGTAACAAGAAGTACTCTCTTTTGGTGAGACCAGACTTGGGATCGAACCATCGACCTTCGGCTTCCTGGAGAGACTGAAGGATGGACTGA